TTCACCTAATTCCTTAGCTATTCGTTTCAAATTATTTAACGAAATCCTTCCTGTATTATCATCATCAAAAAGCTGGAATGCCCTACGAATCTCATCTAAGGGTGATCGATTTAATATTTTTTCCGACACTAAAAGGAATTCAAATTTTAGTTTAATTGGCAACAAATTAGTCAAGATATAGATTAATAATTTTTATACTCACTAACTTTATTAAAATCCTCAAATGAAATGACTCCTTCATTATTTTTATCATATTGACGTATAATTTCGAGAACTTCGGCCTTGCTTTCATTAAATCCTAAAGCACGCATAGCTATCTTGATAATTAACGTTATTAGTTATTAATTTTATTTATTTGTATTTCTCTTAGTTTACCAACCTTTAATTCATGACAATCTAAAGCCCCATCTTTATCTATATCAAATAAGTCAAATGCTTCTTTTATTTCAACACTAAGTTCTTCAGATATTTGAAATTGTAGTGGCGACGCTTTTGGCAGTGTGGAAATTGTTGGTGTAGAGTTGATATTATCTATAGAACTCACTGCAAGTCGACTGTTATTGTTTTTTTTCTTTTGTAAGGTAGAACTTGCTGATAAGTTACTTGAAGAGCTGTTTTTTTTTAACATTATGTTTGAAGCCAATTCAATAAAGCAAACAAAGCTATAAATAATTAAATATAATCATTACCCTCCGTTCAGGTTGTTCATGTTTGACCAGTTAATTTTTTATATGTATACGTACCAGTTAATTATTATAAAAAAAATTTTTTTTTCGTGATTGCGGATTGATTCTAGGGTTGCACCAGGGACTCGGAAAATTATTGTGAAGGATGATCGGTGAAATCGGATGATGCTGAAATTTTTATTTTCATAATAAAATAAATAAAAATTTCAGTATCATCCGATTTCACGATCATCCCCCACATTATTTTAGATGTTTTTCGAGAGTACTGACTATAACTTACATGACGTATACGTAAATTACTAAGTCTTAGTTTCGAGTATCGTTGTGTCACAAACTTTAGATTTTAAATATTTATATACCACGTGAAATATATATCAACCAATCAAAATAAATTTATTTATTAATTTTTTTAATGAAACTATAATTTCCAGACAAATTATGATCATCAGTCTATATATTGTTGTATTGCAAATTTTAATTGTACGTATAATACTGATTAATAAATCATCTTTGTACTCACTAACTGAATTAGGCAGTGGCAAATAAGTATTAATGTTCAATATTGATGATTTTTTTAATTCCACCAGTTGAAAGAGGCACCGGTCGAAAGGAGTTGATTTGCTGATTTTAATTTTCCTGTTGAAGGGAGTTGAGTTCATGATTTGCTGATTTAATTCTACTGGTTGAATTGCTAATTTTAATTCAACCGATCGAAGAAGTATTGAAAGTAGTTAAGTTTATAATTTGCTAGTTTTAATAATTCCACCGGATCAAATAGCATACCGTAAACCTCTTCGTACATAATTTCATAGGCTTTGCCGCTGATGTTTATTGTAATATCTGGGTAAAGGGAGTTGGTTCATAATTTGTAAAATTTATTTCTACGGTTGAAGAGGTTGGGTAATTTGTTGATTTTAATTCCATCGGTTGAAGAGGTTGGGTTCAC